TGGGAGCTGATCCTAATGTTGGTTCGTAAAATGACGTCATGACCTCACGTTTGATATGCAGTGCAAATCATCCTTGGTTCCAAGTTCATTTCCATTTTCCCTTGCGTAAAAGAGAAATTTTTAACTGCATGAAAAAAGAAGGATATATTATATAGTCATATAAATTCTGTATACGAGGGAAACCCTGACCCTGTACACCCCAAGTAATCATACTTAAATAGAATAAATGTTTGAAAAGAAAATTTGCCCTGAGCGGGATTTGAACCCACGTCCCCCTGTTACTAGTCAGGTGTGATGACCACTACACTATCAGGACAACCATGCTGGCAACACGGCAATCGAAGATGTGATTTACGTGATCGGAGACGTGGTCTCCCGGGAAACTTAATTTTCAAGGTGACAGGGTAGGGGAAGCCTATAACCCCATATGACACCCAACAAAGGATCTATTAAAGTTGACTTCGGTCGTGTATCTTTAATAGATCCTTAGTTGGGTTTCATATGGGGTTATAGGCTTCCCCTACCCTGTCACCTTGAAAATTAAGTTTCCCGGGAGACCACGTCTCCGATCACGTAAATCACATCTTCGATTGCAGTGTTGCCAGCATGGTTGTCTTTATAGTGTAGTGGTTATCACACCTGACTAGTAACAAGGGGACGTGGGTTCAAATCCCGCTTAGGGCAAATTCTCTTTTCAAACATTTATTCTACTTAAGTATGATTATTTGGAGTGTACAGGGTCAGGGTTTCCCTCGTATACAGAATATATATATGTATATATATCTCTCATTTTTAATATCCCGAGTTTTTTGGTTGAGTTTTTACAAAAGAAGTCTTGTTTCTTTTTATATTTAAAGTAGACGCAAACTGCAGTCGTTAAGGAATTTAAATTGGCTTCCCTTTGGCTCCAGATGTAACGAGAAAAAATTGTGCTCAAATTAGACATCGAAATCTCCCAATTATCTATGCTTTATGAACACAGAGATTGTTTGGAGCAGATGCACTAAATATCTATTTTTCCTTCCAATGAACGTTTTGCTTCCAAATGTTTATCAAAATAAAAGCCTTAAACAATACACTGAAAATGCATAATATCATTTCTCCGTTATCGTGTCGAATTTCCATAGGTGTCTTCCGCAAAATGGAATTATTAGTTTACCAACTTTTCACACTGTATTCACGCCCGCGCAGGTGCTTTTGCATAACTATATTAATTGTCGAATCACACCGAGATATATTTCGCAACGTGTTCTCTCTCAGCTTGATGTTAAGTCTAGCTTTTGGTTTCGGTAACTCTATCATTTTCTATAGCCCTTCATTTTATAAACAGGATTTGCACACAACTTTAACAACCCTACTAACGCACATCCCCAATATGAATTAAAGCAAACAAACTCTTTCTCGGTCATGAATTTAAATTACCGTCAAGTTTGAATAATTCAAACTAATTTACAACTGCCATCGAGACGGAAAATTGGATAAATTGGCCCATGCGCGCTCCATTCGAATTCGTTTATTTTCCTCCAACTAAAACAAATCTACATCTGTCTTCTTTTTGTTTTGCTGACACCCAACACCTTATACTAATGCAAGCTTATTTCCAAGGAGATTTCGTTCAAAGTAATGGAACTGGAGTCGATATACGATGCCATTTGGATCAGAAAGCTTCTAGCACCTTCCTCAGAGCTTTTGTAATGAATTGGCAAACTCTTAGAGAGTTTAGCTCGAAATATGGAGGTTCAACAATACTATAATACATGAAGCTGATACATTTTGTTCATCACTGCCAGTAGCATCAGCGAATATGAAAACAAAGCTTCTTATGGCCTTAATCGTTGCTATTTTCAATGGTCTTTTCCATCGTCTGTCAACTTCTGAAGAAATAAGACTAGGAGCTCTGATAGCGTGGAATGGAACTTGGCCAGTGGGACCGAGAATGGCATCAGCGTTGCTTGTTGCCTTTGATACGATAAAGAACGATCTCAACCTGCTGCCAAATTAAAACTTTACATATTACTGGCAAGATAGCGCTTGTGATACCGGTGCCACGCTGAGATCCATGGTCGACTTACAAGCGAAGAAGCCACCAATTCATGCCTTTCTCGGGCCAGGCTGTTCTGTTGGATGTATACCAGGTGGTTATTTAGCAGCGTACTGGGAAAAGCCTATGATATCATTTGCTTGTGGCGAATCTGCGCTTTCAGATAAAAAGAAATATCCAACATTCGTTCGAACAGTTGGAACGTACGCACAAACCGGAAAGTTTTTTCTGAATATTATGCAAAAATATAGCTGGAGTCGTGTTGGGATTCTAGCCTCCACAGAAAGCCTATGGTCGCAAGTTGCTAATTTTGTGAGAGACGAAATTGATGGTAGCACAAGCGGGAAATTCACTGTCGCTTCTTTTCACGTATTCAGCCCCGGTATTACGACCGATGAGCAATTCAAAAATATGTTGAGTTCTGCGAGAGAAGAGGCACATGGTGAGTAGGTAGTACTTGTGTCTGCATGAAAAATTTTTCTAGAAGTATTTATCTCACGAAAATCTGCAAAAAGGCAAAACATAGGGTAAACTCAACCTATAAGTAGTTTTATCACTTTAAGACGAGGAATTAATTACTATAATATCATTGGTTGTTGAAGGTTATTTCAGTTATACCTTTGCAATGTTTTGTTTTGATGCTTTTTGTCAGAGTTAGTAGAGGGGACTGGGTCCCCTCTACTAACACTGTTTTTGTGTTAGATAGGTAGGTATCTTTAGGGATTAGTTAGATCTATTAAACCCTTCTTATTCCAAATCGCCTTTGTTAGCAATAAGCAAGAAATTTTAAATGCTGAATCACTGCAAACAGATTACACGACGTTGAAATATTTTCTAACATTTTCTTTTTGATCCTTTTCATAAGTCAACGTTCTAAAGATCCTTTCTCAAAAGATACAATTATCTTTTCGTAAGGTCAATCCGCCATTATATTATTCTTTCGAACAGCTGATTTATTCAAACGATACGCATCAGATATTATTCCTCAATATTCCATTTTTTTTCTGACCTGTACTCACGCAAAAAAAATAAATCCTTATGCTCCCTCGTTTCTGCAGTTTGATAAAAGATATATTCTTTCGTACCGTCTTCATTCGTTTAGATTATTGATAAAAGAGTAAAAGTCGGTATCATGCTATCTTAATAGATCGGTGAGCAAATATACTCTCGGTTTGTCCTCTAGTATTTCATTCAAATGTAAATAGAGTGCGTCATGCCAGCCCATTTAAACCATAAATGCAACCGAAAAAAACAGACTGCAAAGCCTGTTTCCAAATCCAGGCCAACTGCAAAATTAAGCTAAGGCTCCCCAGTACAGCGTAGCAGATGCTTTAGAGGAAAGCTCCAAATTACGTCTTTTAAACCTAAATAATATAGGCAAACCACAGGAGGTGAAGTGCATGGAATCTGAAGTCTATTGTTACTTCCAAACTAACCCAAGAATCGAGCAAATAACATCAATTTCGAGGAGAAAGCCCGATTTTGTGCAGGAAATTCATTTTCAGTAGGTCGATCGTTAATTTTTCTGGTGGGTTTATGCGTTCTGCATAAAAAGGCAATCGATCACAAAAGAAGAATACGGGTGCATATTATCAAAACAATGTCACGCTTAAGGAGTTTGCATGTCAAAACATAACTAATACGTGACCAATACTAAATATAAAACAGTATAGACTAACCGGTGTCGATTAGTTTCTATGAGTGTTTATAACTAAGGATATCATAAAAGAGAGTCTAACTTTTGTTCGAGCCATCGAGGGTCGAGGGTCTTATGTCGAGGTCGAGGATATTTAGTCGAGGGTCCCTTTTTTTGTTTTTCTTTTTCGCAGCCCATGTTCCTAGTCGAGGGTCCCTTTCTTCTTTTTCTTGGCAATAGCGGAAAATACGAGTCATCGCATTGCGTGAGACCGGATGTTGACGTTGTTACGAAATCGAGGCAAACTAGTTCTGTTAAAATAAATTGAAGTTGTTCGGAGTAATTTTTGACATTGTTTTATCATTTAGTAGCGGTAGTGCATTTTTTTTACTGATTACTTTCAAATTCAATAACTATTTTTGTTGAAATTGAATTACCCACCCTTTTCTATTATTGAATCACTTATTTGTTCATTGGAGGTGACGAAAATTTTCCGTTTTTCCATTCAGGGGAGGGTGCAGCTACACGTTGGCTAAAATAAAYCTTCTTCAGGGAATACTTTTTCTTCGTGCAGTTGTTTATCTGCACAAAATGTTAAAACCAGAATGGTGGAAAGTAAACAACAAAGGTATTCCTTTGAATATCGCGTGACGTTTGTGGTAAAGATATGCGTGTACGTACTTTCTAGCGGAAGTTCTTGGGTGGTGGTTTTGTCTAAATTTTCAGGCAGACTGCCTCCATAAGAGTATTGACACTTATCAATACAAATGTGGTATCGTCAAGGCATATAAAAAGAGAAAAGGCCTTGCTTCCGGTTCGTGTTCGTCGCTAAAACACGACGGACAATGAAAATACTTAAGGGCTGAGGGCGAGCGAAGCACAAAAAAAAAATTTTCGCGAAAGGGAAAATTGAATGAAAAAAAAAAATCCATGCACGCCAGTTAACCCTGAAACATATCCATGCTAGGACCAAAAAAGTTCATACGAGAAATGATAACGAATAAAATTCCCGCATTTCGAAATGTGACGTTCAAGATCGCATTTGAACTCAAGTCAATTTATTTTAACAGAACTAGTTTTCCTTGATTTCGTAACAACGTCAACATCCGATCCCACGCAATGCGATGACTCGTATTTTCTATCGCCAAGAAAAATAAGAAAGGGACCCTCGACTAGGAACAAAAAAGGGAATCTCGACTAAATATCCTCGACCTCGACATAAGACCCTCGACCCTCGATGGCTCGACCAAAAGTTAGAACCCATAAAAGAAAATCTATATTTTACTGACGGAAACTCGTTTCTTGACCAAGTAAATACTGCAAGGAAACTGAACCACAACAATTCGAACTAGAGGTGGGGGTGGTAATGATGGGTAAATGTACTTATGAAAACATTCCTTGAACCATAAAGTCATTAGGGTTAAAGTTGTTTTGAGGCGGACATTATATGACAAATGGATGATGGCATCTAAGACGCCACGTAAAAGGAAATTGAGATGAAGAAATATTTAAGAAAGATGACATCATGATGTTGGTTGATTAACAAACGTCAAATGATGTCTTTGGTGTTCTTTAGCTGATTATATGTTGATCCACAGTCATTTCATTGAGTTTTAAGCCCTTGCACAAAGAATATCTGAGAAATTTGGAGCATTTTGTGAATGTATTTTATAAGGCGGACAATTGTTANTTGTCCACATTTGTTTTTTTTCTTTCGTAACTAAAATCCAATTCTTCGCTTGCGCGATGCGAGAAAACCTGTTTAACCGGTACTCTACAATAGACGAGTACAAATAGCGCGGGATATTTGTAATCGTCTATGGCGTTATTTGTACTCGTCTAGGTTTAGTTGGATAATAAAGATACATATTTTTAGTTTAGATTAGACGAAATTGTAGCCCACCCGTGCTGCCCAGATGGAAACAGACACCAGGGAACAGTTAAGAAAATTATATCGATAATGATGGAGCTTTTTATTCTAACAGCATTTCCGAGAGTTTAATAACTCAGTCCCAGTCATTAATATACAAAATTATAACAAAAAAAAGATTTACAGACAGATTTACGGCATTCTCTACAAAAGCAAAGCCACAACAGGGTATAATTTCTCTTCTAAGGCCTCCCTCTAGGCAAGAAGTTATAGTTTCATCTTGTTTCTTTGCATATTTTTCTTTGTTTTGTTTTGTTGTTGTTGATGTAGTTATGTTTTTCATAACTTTTTATGCAACACATTCTCTTCATTACTTAGTTTTTATCCTTATTGGCTATGGAAACTCGATACGGCAGATCATGTTAAACCTGCACGATTTAGAGATGATTTCGACAACATACGCCTTGTTCACCTTTGAAATCACACCCGAAAACTGTAAGGGGAACGACGGAAGGGACAAAGAAGCTTGTGAAGCATTCGAAGGCCTCATGGACATTGCTAATTATGTTCCAGTAAATACGGCATACAAGAAGTTTGAGGAAAAAGTTCGACAGAAAATGCCTGAGTTCGCTGGCTTAGGATATCAGATGCCACAGCGTGATGAGGTAAGAGCTGAGGATTAGTGAATTAATTGGGTCAGTGGTAAAATAAATTCATTAATCAATATACACTTATCAGGCGCCGATAATTTTCGTTTTCGCTGCGAAGTTGGCTAGGGAGGAATAAAATTTGCACTCAGAATTTTGTAATATAAACATCGTGAAGTAAATAGTGAATAATACATGGGCCCGTGTACACATGGAATTTCTCTTCCAGTGTTATTTGCAGGTCTGTACAGCACTCTTAGATTCGCATAAGCGAGGAGTAAACAGGTTTCAAGAACATGAGTTTTCATTTCGATATATAACGGATAACAAAGATGAACCAATGTGTAATACTCCCAGGGATTTCATCTTATGCTGAGTGTTTGTCAATATCCCCTGTTCTTCAGGTGGATATCTACGCGGGTTTTCTCCATGATGCAGTGGTATTGTATGCTCGAGCAGCCCATGACCTTTTACGAGCTGGAGGAGACCTTGCGGATGGAGAAGCACTGATCAAGCGCATGACAAACAGAAGCTTTGAGGGTACTTACATGTGATGCGACGTAACTTTCTTTTCATGATGTGGCTGTCATCCTCTATTTTCGAGATGAATTGTCTGTGTGTATTCTCTTGTTCTGTGTTCGTTGTGTTGATCCACAGCTACCGTCTAATTTAAATACTTTTTATCACGAAGATTAGTCAGTGAGTAAGTGATCAGTTTTCTTAGTCAAAAATTTCATCTTCCTGCCCAAGAATGTCGACTGGAGCCACTCTTGAATTGAAACACCTAAAAATTAGTTTAAGATATCAAAATGCATTGCCCTAACTTTGCGCTGAATCTGCTATCTTTCTTTCAATTATCGTGACTTCATAGCTGCCGGGTTCCAAGGGTGATTGGCGAAGCCATAAAGAAAGAGCAACCGAGCCCTAAAAAAGATGCTGCGAAGCCAGAAGTTGAAGGAGAGCAAGTAGCTCCCCTTCCTTTTCTCACAACTTCGCTACTTTCCATTTCAGTTCTTCTTCCTTCATTTCTGAAGGCTTACTTAAAATGCTCGCGTTGAGTAGGCATGATGTTTCGTCTCGTGCAGGTGTTTCTGGGCTAGTTTTTATAGATGAAAATGGGGATAGAGCGATCACCCTCCAAATGAAGAACTTTCAAAATGGCAGAATGGTTCGTGTTGCAAACTACTTTCGGCACTCCGAAGAACTCGAGTTCATAAACGCAACGACTCTTTGGCCAGGAGGGTCTGTAGTTGCTCCATTGGGAAGACCTAAGTGTGGCTTTAACAGAGAATTCTGCTCGTCTCCAGGTATGACAATAACAACGATTACCCGTATTTAAAACAACAGTAATACAGTAATGTTTGTCAATGAATTTTTTAAATTTTCCCAAAATTAACATGATACAGACCGACAAGCTTCACAAACAAATCGAAACTTCTCAACCATTTGTATCCTGATTATATTTGAATAAGAAATAATAAGAGGGTTACTCATTCTATTTTTAGTCCTTCCTTAAGGAAGTCGTTTTGTCCAAAAACTTGCCCATTTTGCCCTTTTGACTAAGTAATTATTAGCTGTCACAACCTTAGCACAAGGTGCACGCGGCCGCAAATTTTCCCTTAAATACGATAAAACGTTTGACAAAAACATAATCCAAACTGGATCATTTGAGCCGCAAATTTTTCGTTACTAGACAGGGCATAGCGGTTGTGTTTACCGTCTTGCTTCGCTTTAAGCCATCTTTAAGCTTTACTTTCCAACTTTAATTGGAAAGTAAACGCATCTTTGAGCGTTTCCTATTGAGAAACTAAGTTTGATGAAAAGTTTATCTATGTATAAATTTAATCCGTCATCAAGCTTTTATGTTATTCCTTATTAATGAGTATCTTATCGTTTTATTTGCTAGTGATTTGGAGGATCGCTGTTTATGCACTCTCAGCCTTCACTGCTCTTATAATTTGCATGGGTGTTCTTCTTGTTTATTACAAGTAAGCAGTATATTATATATAGGAACTTATCGTATGATTGAATGATTCGTAAAGTAATTTTCTGCTTATACTTTGTAACTGAATATATTCATGGAAAATTTCTATCGGTCTGTTAGTTCAAAACGCTTGACATGCTAATCGATGTCACCCACAATAAATTTAAAAATACCTTTCAATTACTACGGACCCGTCACCTCTTCTATTTAGGTGATAAAATACTAATATGCTGCAAATTTCGATCCCAATGTACTTTGCTCTTCCGTCAATAGAGTGGCTGGCCTTATCATGATACTTACTTTACATTTAGGAGGAAAGCATTTGAGTCGTCACTTCAGAGCCAACGTTGGAAAATTTCTTCGGCAGATATAAACTTTACAAGAAAAGCTCTGGATGGAAGAAGCATGGTGAGAAACAATCCCTGAACACATTTTTATCTTTTATGAAATACAAATTAGGGTTGTCACCTACCGTTCTAAGAACGCGTTTATATCCTCAGTCTTGTATGTTTTCACTATCCCTTTGCCAAGATTAAAGAAAGATACAGGGTCAAGATCGCACTTATGACTTTACATTTGGCATACTGTCTGACACCAACTGTTTATATTGGACGTTTTCCCAAAAAAAGTGTGGCCCAAAAATAACTCACGCAAAGGAAAAGGCGTGAGATTGCCTTGTGCAACCATCAGCAATCGGGTGCAAAAAAAAACTCTTCCAGTACCGCTTTTTGAGCGTGCGTCAATTTAGACTTTACTGTAGCTGTTAAAGAAGATATGGACGGGCTTAAGTAATTAAGTTATCTCTATTATGAACATTGTAATGTTTTTGGCAGATCTCAACATCTAGCATTGGCTCTGGTGACAGCAGTATGAATTCGAGAGCCTTAGAGGAAGATGAAATAAGAGGACAAGTATTTACAAAAGTGGCAATTTTTAAGGTTTGTTATATATTTCTCGAGGACTGGAATTAGAAAGGTGCCCGGTGAGATACTGAAATAATAATTCCCCATCTCAATGATTTGTTTCCATTTTAATTCTTTAGTCCACAGTGGTAGCAGTTAAGAAGCTGAGAAAGACGCACATAACTTTGTCAAGGACAATTCTCATGGAATTAAAAGAGGTAATCCGCTGTGTACCACAAACATTTAAAGTGCAGCACAACAAAATAGTCATAAACGGCCAACAAAGATTGAGTGTCCCATAAACAGCCACCCAAAAACACGACACCAGCTGTCGTCGTAAACCTGAGACAACAGACAAAATTTCAGCTTATTTTCAGGATGTGGTTTCGTAAAAGGTTTAAAACCCTCTCCCCAGCGTGAATGGCCCTTGACAAAGTGCAGAGATCGGTCAATTTAGATAGTATCGTAAACCACGTGCGCACGTAAAATGGTCGTCTTCTGAAGGAAAGTAATCCGTGAACAAACAGAATTCCAATTCACTTCCGTGGGATCACAACAATAGTATATTGCCCTATTCCATTCGGAAATTTGGAAGAGGGGCTCCCTTCAAATGACGATTTCACAGTCGTATCTAACATCAAATCTCTTCCTTTGCAATATAATTTCTTGAAGATCTCGAAAAACAATCTAATTTTCCTTCCACAAGAAAATTGAAGTTCAAAACATGTGAACTTTAATCACTGCTCTTCACAGTAGTGTATATCTTACATAGGTTTACGAGCTTCAACATCCAAATATCAATCGATTCATCGGTGCGTGCATGGACTCGCCAGATATATGGATTTTAACACAGTACTGTAACAAGGGAAGTCTGCAGGTATATTTTAAAGGAGTGAGGACAAAGACACGATTTTAGGGTCTCTCGTCTACACACGCTTTTTGATAATGTTAATGGCTAATCATAAGAAAAGACTTAGCTATCTACCATTGGTGTCGATTACTTGCTTTTTATTCAAGAATTGCTTTTCTAAAAGTTTCGCTAACCTGACTAACAACAACATACGTAAACCATTAATACAAAATCAGATTTTGCATGAGCCAAAGGTGCAGTTCCATCAGGACGATAGCCATGATGATATAAAAAAGTAGCATAACCTCGATTGAAACTGAAGCTAGGCCTTTTGCTCATCACAGGCCGAATCATGTAATGCGTTGGGAGTCCAAAGTACAGAGCTCCCAAGGTGCGAAGGAGAAAAATAATTCATGTAATCACTTTACTACGCTAACCTGATCTAGTAAGCTACGCCCAGACCGTGTAGAGAATCTTCCTTATTTGCTCCATTAAAAACATATCATTCGCCAATCTCTCTTTCAGGATGTTTTGAATAATGAGAAGATGAAGCTTGACTGGATGTTTAAAATGTCCTTTGCATCCGATATCGCAAGAGTAAGAACAGATGGCATATTAGTGCCTAAATCTAGCAAAACAAAAAACAAGTACAAGAGAAATACTTTGACGCTGAAAACCCTGCCTCGTTTTTATAATTCTTACCAGAATAAGAGTCTAATTTGTTGTTAGGAATGCTTATTTTTATGGCAGAGATATGAAAAACGAAATGTTTACTACTCATATCTAAAAGATTGAGGTTCATCACTGCTGCTGTTTTAGCCTTCGTTTTTGCTTCTGTTTATGACAAATGTTAATGCTATTCACATATGTATACTAAATTTTTGACGAGTGTAATGTCTCTACAGGGAATGTTTTTCTTACACAAAAGCTCAATTCTTTACCATGGTGACCTGCGGTCTTCAAACTGTGTCGTAGACAGCCGTTGGGTTTGTAAAATAACCGATGTCGGACTAGAAAATTTTAAAGCAGGACAGAAGGTTGACTCGTATCTTGGTCTTGATGCGGAATATAACAGTGAGTAGTTCAAAATACCAATAAATCTAACTGAATGGCCGTATGTTTGGAGGCAGAGAACAAAAAGAAAAAACTGGAGTTTTCAATAGAGGTGGAAATAGAGGACTCGTTATATCAGATGCAGGAAGGGAGTTCGATCCACGACAATTGAGTGACACCTGAGCGAGGCTTTAGGGTTTTAGTTGATCCATGACGTCTCATTTCGAAGCTTCCTAAAATCGGGCGTTTAAGTTCAGCGAAAGGAAAGATGGTAGTCGATAAGTCCTGGGAAGAGCCAATTTATTTTCAACCTTGATTCGCCAATTCAGTTAAAGCGCTTAAGATAACAGTGATGAAGAATCGAATGATGTGAAAACGTCACCCTAACTAGGCTATCTTCTTTGAGTAAATTGTACATAAAAAAGAGCATTCACATAACAATTCATATTCATTTTCTTTTTTTAACTTTTCAGAACTTTTGTGGCGAGCACCGGAGCACCTGGATGGCAGGAATGATTTATCTAAGTCACAAATGGGAGATGTCTACAGCTACGGCATTATTCTGCAAGAGATTCTTCTTAGAGGTCTGCCATATGCCATGAATGACTTCATGGAGGCAAAAAGTAAGCCTCAGACGTTTACCTCTGACTTTGAAATAGTTAATTCAGACATTAGAGGGAAACTTAGCTCGTTTAGATTGCAAAGAAAATCATTTTTAAAAAATCCAATCCTGGTGAGTTGTTAATAAAATGTTACTATAGGACGCTCAACATTCCCGATAACATGTATAACTCTAATAATAATATCTATTTATCAACAGCAATTGTCAGCAAGGTACAGAAAAGAGAGAACCCTCCCTTTCGTCCAGTCATTCCATCCAGCTTTGGAAATGGACTGTACGTGAGAATGATGCGATCCTGTTGGAGTGATGACCCAACTTTACGGCCAAGATTCAGTGACGTTCTTCAAACAATAAAAGGAATTAACAATGGAAAGTAAGTTCTGTATCTCAGCCAACGAACAACGACCTAAATATCGGGATTCCGTTTAGGGAAGCTACGTTTATTACTGGGGGGGAGGGCTGGAGAATTCAGATCAATTTTTCCCAAAAAATGTTAGACCCTCCCCAGTTATTTTGAAACTAAAGTTATGACCTTCCCCAGGAAAGCAGTAACAATACTCATAAGCCTCCCCCCCAAACCATATATAAATATATTAAAGATTATTTTCTCTCAGCAGTCAAATATACACAGCATAAATTTCGAACATGCAGGGCTCGCAAAAGTCATGAAATATTCAAATCAAATTCTTATATTGCAAATACTGCCTAGCTAATTTTGATTTCAAGTGTAGCATTTGAATGAGAACGTACGATGTTTTTTTTTTCGGCACGTGCACTAGGCTACAGTATTAAATTGTATGAATATAAATTCACACGTTCTTGAGTGTTTTTGTGTTTACATTATACAATTATACATTTACACAAACATTCAAGGAGCATAATAGTCCTACGTCTAGTCCGAGTCCGTATAATTATTCATCCGTATCGCTTGAACTATCTTCATGATCGCATTGATTTTCTTGAATACTTTCAAATTTTTTTCGACATTGGGGCGAGAGGAAGCGTTTTATTGTATGTACTGAGTGTGTTGTCTGGATTATTGTCAAGAATTGATGTCAAATATCTCATCTCAAAGGCTTTCATGTTTGCGATTGCCGAAACAATGAGATCATCATTGTCAATTACATAATCTTCGTTGTCCCTTATTACTTCGATGTCAACTTTAAGTATTTTTCTTTTGACTGCTTCTTCATTTTCTGAATACCTTCTGGTTTCTCGTTTCTCAGCCTTTCAGCGATGTTGCTTCTTCATCCGTGAATGTCTTTTCGGTGCTTTTCCTCAGCGAGGATAAATCCTCTCAACTCTTCTAAGTGCATTCTCCAACAGCTCAGTTGTTTCCAAAACTGTAGATTTTGCTGAGTAAAGATCTTTTAAGAAATCCTGATTAGCATTGTGCTTTGCCTGGAATCCAGGTTTCAGCTTAATCCCATAAGGTATAAATAGCGCATTATCGTGCTCTTTGACCTCACAGATAAGCTTCTCTATCTTATTCTTTACTTTCGACAGCCCATTCTTGTTATTCGTAATCGTACTGGAGTCATGAGAGTTAACTTGGAAATTTTCATGCATGTACTTCCCTGCGGTGGCCGGATTGCCATATGTAACAAAGGAAATCTTTTTCTTTATCTTCGCCACTGATTGATGCAATTCCCATTGACGCTTCCTTTCCCCTATAAATTCCAAGCGAAAGCGTTCTTTTGAATTACAACTTTGTCTCGTGGGCTCAGATTGACTTTTAAGGACTTTTATAAACTTGCTCATATTGATTTTAAGATAACTTGCAAAATTGTATATAGAGATGTGTTATCAAATACACTGAAAATAGTGATTTTCTACTGCTGAGTATTTATACATACATAGCTACTTAATGATGATAATCAATTGAGATAATTCAGTTTTCACGTGTAAATTTAAAGATCAAGAAAGCATCAAATTATGTTCTTGAAGTTTATAGGGTGGAATTTAAAGTTTAATAGGATGACCCTCCCCTAATAGCTTTAAGTGAAAGATGTGACTACCCCTTAGTTTGCAAATTATATTAATGACCCTCCCCTCTCACGTTCCAGCCCTCCTCGCCCAAGAATTAATGTACCTTCTCTTAATACAGTTTAAGGTGGCTGAACACAGTTTCCGTGCGCGCTTTTGCTGATGTAATCCAGCACAAGGATTGCAAAAAAACAAACATGCCGTCAACAGAGCGGTCATTTCATTTACTAACACCTATCCGCACTATCTGTGCTATTTTTCTCTATAGATGGCGCAGGGCTTTAATTTTTTGTTACAAAGAATGTTAGAAAAGTTAACGGTGCAAAGAACCCAGCAATTCTCAGCTTTTTTGTTGTTACCGAAAGAAACCAGTTAAATGCAGCGCATGCGTAGTAAGTAAAAAAATTGTGACTGAATGGAAAACTCCTTTCTCGGAAATATGCCTATTTCTCGAGAACCACCCATTAGAATTTCACGAAATTTGGCACAAAAATACTTTAGGAAATAAGTAACTGGAGTATTGAAAAAGATTGATTTTAAACAAAGGAAATTCTAGAAAATCGAGTGAACCTTCAGCAAGGGATAATCAAAGATCTCTCTGTTAAATTGTTAGCAAAATGGTGTTAACTTGTGAGTATCGTTACAAGCTCGCTGCATGAAAATTATAAAGAAAATCTAATGACTAGAATTTCTACAAAGAAACAAAACCGATTTTAATTGCCTATTTAGATCTATTCGTGTCGCCATGGCAACGGCACACAAGGCAGCTTAACTGTCGCAGAAACAAAGTTTGTGTTGTTAACTTGCTTGCTGCCAATTTTGGCGACCGAGAGATCAAGGGTTTTAGAGAAAATGGTGAAAAAATCAAAGGTATCAAAAACTGTGTCCAGCCACCTTAATAGCGATAGTTGCTCTGAATAAAGTATTTTGAATTTGAAGAGCACCTCACTATGAGACGCATTTTGGCATCGCACCTAAAGTTGATACTCCAACACACAAAACGGTCTGTTCCTTTGTGACGTTCTCTGTAAGCCTTGTTACTGGCGTCATACTTGTTGCACCGAGGACGACGTACTTTGAAAAGAATCGAAAAAAGTATCGAGTTCGCATTTCCAGTTTTTGGCTCACTTGATCTATGAAATGAGAGGGGTTGAAACTTGACTTCATCTACTTTTATCACTTTCTGATCCTTTCATTGATTTTATTCGAAAGAGACATCAACATCATGGACAACATGATATCACTGATGGAAAAATATACAGACCATCTGGAAGAGATCGTCAGAGAGAGAACTGAACAACTGGAGGAAGAGAAACAAAAGACAGACGCCCTGCTATACAGAATGCTGCCAAAGTAAGTACAGAGGATTCGGAGCTATCTCAAAGTTCTAAAATGATTTCCGACCAAAGGGGATTTCAATTTTATCTACTTATTGCTTTTATCATTTATCACTCCAATCTTTGATAGCCATAATAATGATGATAATTCCTCTCTAAATTACATTTTGTGAAATTGTACAAAACTCTTTTTGTTCAAAAAGTCATGTCAACATAATTTTAAAAAGTAGAAAAAGAAATAGAAAAATAATTTTCCTAATTTTTCAATTGGAGACTTCATAAAATATTTACATTTGCAATGACTTTAACATAAGGCTTTGTTGCATTTCTAATAGGACGGTCGCAGAGCAGTTAAAACGTGGTGAGGCTGTTACGGCAGAATATTTTGATCAAGTTACAATTTTCTTTAGTGACATAGTGGGTTTCACAACAATAGCTGCCCAAAGTAAGCCGCTAGAGGTGAGCGAATGTTTTTATTTCTTGTCAATCTGAGCTATCAAAAAAATTAATACTACAAATTCATCGATCAGTTAGGTTAATGTGCACGAAAATAGGAATAGTGGAGGGAAATGACAAAATCTTTCAAGAAAATTCGATTTGGCTAAAAGAACTTTTTGTTTGAAAACAAAACCAATGGATAAAATCAACGTTTGCTTCTTTGTCTCACGATCAAAGGGTCAGGCTTATCAATCGCTGCAATCAATACTAATCAATACACAATCGAAAACCCTGACTCCTACATCGGGAGACAAATCATCAAAACTTCATTTGTTTATGAAAACCAGAATGTACAACATCATTTTCTTCTTGTTGGTCACTGGTCGAGGAACACGGCTGATTTTTTAACGTGACAACGTAAAACGTTCATTCTTAACTAACTGACCGACACCTTTTTTCGTTGATCAATTATTGAGTCAAAGACGACGCAAAAAGATTGTTCGCTGTGAGGTAGCTCCTATCCTAAGCTGCAGCAGTATTGATTTTATCTTCGATTTTTGACGGCTTACCGAGCCAATCGCACTCATGACAGTAATCATGACAATATTGAACTATCAAGGAAGTACAGACGTGGATAGTCTTCGAATACACAAAAGCATTTCTTTTTCATTGAGCATCATTTTCATTAAGTATTATTGACACATATTTAACTAAATTCTTTTTACACAGATTGTTAACCTATTAAATGATCTATATACCTGCTTTGACAATATCATTGATCGCCATGATGTCTATAAGGTAAGAAAATTACCTCTTCTGAAATAAGAGATGATCTCTTTCATTATGATGCCGCTTTCTTTTCCATTGCAGTTGTTCATTGTCTTCTTAAGGTTTTATCTTGGTTATCATTGGTGTTGTGGTAGTTTTTGTTACATTTTTTTATTGTTATTGTTGACGTGTTCGTTAATTTTCTTTTCGTTGGCAGTTGTATCAGCCTTAGGTGGTGTCGATCTTCTCTGTTTGTCTGCTATTGTTTTTCCCTTGAGTACAATCTGTTAAAACTCTTACCTACATGTACATGTATTGTTCACCATAGGTTGAGACAATTGGAGATTCTTACATGGTTGTATCTGGACTGCCCAAGCGCAATGGCATCCTTCATGCTGGAGAAATTGCCAACATGTCCCTTGATCTTTTGAGTGACATGTGTCACTTTAAAATTAAACACCTCCCAGAGAAACAGCTCCAACTTAGAATTGGGATTCATTCTGGTAAGTTATCTCGTAACGTGAATTTCTGTGTTTTCTCTTAAACTGTTTGTCTTCCGCATACCTAATGATATTGTTACGGTAACTGATTACCGGCAGAAAGATAATAACCTCGCTATTTCCGCGAAACACAATTTATTTAACTGTAAACAACGGGAGGTAACTTAACACGAGCTAGCGACCACTCTTGGAACAATCCAACTAAAATTAACTATGTACTTATCTACGCTTATCTGACCACAAGCAAAGTACTGTCCTTCTCTTTGGC